ATCTTGGCATGAGATTGTTAGCCTTGTTTCAAAAGGTTATCTTACATTTTTTAAAAAAATTATGACATTTGTTTTGTCTTTATGACATGTTTAAATAAATGTTTATTATGCCTGTCTATCAAAGAGATCTATTATGATATAGATTCCTAGTTCATCATATTAGAAGATATTTTCCTACAAAAGAAACTGCACAGATTTCTAAGAGAAATAACACAATAGATAAAAATAGCTTCCAATACAAGAGTGACTTAAGATGAACTATGAAGTGTCTTAAGTAGGAGGCCTGTTACATATACAAACCATGCCACATCCAAGGACAAAGTTATATATGCCAGCTTTTTTTAAAATAAACATTTCTAAAGCCCTTTCCACTTTTTCACAACAAAATGACTTGACAAATTATACACAAAAGTCTTTTTTTCTTATCATACACCTACTACGTTGTTGCTACTATATGAATCCTCTTAAATCATCATGATATCTTTTCATTTAAGAATAATATGAATAATATAGTATTTTTGTGACCCAGGTGGAATTGGTAAAAGTGTTACATTCTTTTTCTGAGATGAGCTATTATTTGTAGAGTCTTTCAGAAATCTCAAGGAGAAAGTAAATCTGGATATTTGTCCAGACCCTGTGTAGTGCTAGTTCACACACAACTTCTGGAGTCTCTGTTTACTCATTTAAAAAAGGTATATAATATTCATCGCAAGTGCAATAGAACTTTTTAAATAAAGATTAAATGATATCTTCCAACTAAATATAACTCTTTGGGAAAAAAAAAATCCAAGTAGTGTTCCTATACACTTTTAAACAAATGATAAACTTATTGGTAGGCTTTATTCCCTTGCTTTATTTGGATATACTTGATAAATTAAAAAATGCATGCATTATGGTATAGAGAGTGATTGTATATATCTATATATATATAATAATCACCACAATCAAGTTAATTAATGTGTCCATCACTTTATATAGTTAACTAATATGTATATATTTAATTTTGGTGAGAATAATTAAAATTTACTCTTATTCTGTAAATTTCAAATGTACAATACGGAATTATAACCAATAATCTCCATGCTGTGCATTAGATCTCCAAAACTTATTCATCCTGCATATCTGAAACTTTTATTCTTTGACCAACAGTTCCCTATTTTCCCCACACCCAAGCCCCTAATAACCACTACTCTACTCTCTGCTTCTATGAGTAAGCTAAGGACCTAAATAGACATTTCTTAAAGAAAACATACAGATGACCAACAGGTATATGAAAAGATGCACAATTCACTAACCATCATAAGATGTAAATCAGAACATCACTGAGATATCACCTCATACCTAGAATGGTTATTATCAAAAGAATACAAGATAACAAGTGTTGGTGAGATTATGGAGAAAACAGAACCCTGTGCACTATTGGTGGGAATGTAAACTAATGCAGCCATTATAGAAAACAGTATGGAAGTTACTCAAAAAATTAAAAATAGAACTACCACATGAGGCAGCAATTCTACTTCTGGGTATATCTTAGTCTGTTCTGGCTGCTATAACAAAATATCACAGACTGGATGACTCAGAAACAAAAAGCATTTATTTCTCACAATTCTAAAAGCTGGAAGTCCAAGATCAGGGTATCAGTATGGGAGGTCCTTACCAGGTTGCAGACTTCTCATTTTATCCTTACATAAAATGGAAGGAGTTGAGGATCTCTGTGAGGCCTGCTTTTTTAAGCCACTAATCTCATCCGTAAGGGCTCTATCCTCCCAAAGGCCCCCGCCTAATAATGCCATCAAATTTGGGGGTTAGGATTTCAATTTATGAATTTTGAGGGGACACAAACATTGACAACATAGCAGAATATATATCCAAAAAAATGAAATCACTATATCAAAGAGGTCTACTCTCTCATATTGATTACAGCATTATTCATTTATAATAACATGGATGAACCTGGGGACAATATGATAAGTGAAATAAGTCAGTCACAGGGCAAACACTGTATGACTTCACTTATATGCAGTTGGCTTTTCATAATACCAATGTATATAATTTCTGAGCTTGTCTTGGCATAAAGACAATACACAAAATTTAAAAAGCAAAATCCTTGTTATCATGTTAATTCACATTAAGCAGATCTGGAGGCAGACAGAGGTTAGGGGCCTAGATTTGACGGACTCAATGGGGCTCAGTCAGCTGCTTCTCAGGGAAGCAGGCAGAGAAAATAAATTCAGGGAGTCTTCATGTGATAAATCGAAAATTTAAGATCTTAGATCTGAGGCTTCTATCTCAGGAGTTTGGGCCAGGAAAATTCCAACAGGTAAGATTATTTCAAAACATTACATAACCAAAAATGCAGAGCGAGTGTGAGTCTAACCAAAAAGGAAAAAAAAAAAAAATGGTAGCTGCCCTCTTATTCCCATTTTATTTTCTTGTAGACAGGAAAGCCCAAGTTACCAAGTAGTTGTGTGAGGCAGTTGCATCAGAAGATCAGAAGTCAAAAGGAGTTCCACTAGCAAAAATAATTATAATTCACTGTGTTCTCTAAAATTTTACTGACCCATCAAAAAACATTTACTTTATACTTACTCTGAGTGAGCTACTGGATAAAGTTGGGGATATACTACATTTATACAAATAAGATTACTGTTCTCAAAGAGCTTGTAGTTAAAAGAAGAGACGAGTATACATAATTTACAAAATAATGTGATAAATAATATAGGTTTTTTTAAAGTAGACTGAAAAGGGGTACCCAACCTAGTCTTGGAAGTCGGACCAGAGAAGACTACACTGGAAGTAAAATTATCTCTAATAGAGCCCAGTGAGTCAATGCAAGAAATATATAGCACATTTTTTAGTGTATATTATGCTCATATTTATTCAGCTTAAACAAATGGACTATTTTTGAGCAAATATATTAATGAAGGATGGTGTTTGCAATCTGGCTGCCTGTATGTATGGAAATAAAAGTGTAGGATTCTGGTTCCACTGTTCAGTGTATTATCTATGTACTGAATTGCCTTTTCTGTGTGCCAAAGCCAGTATGTAGGTTATTGGTCTGGCCTATTAAAACAAACAAACAAACAAAAAAATCAAACCAAAAACGACATTCCAATTAACTTTCCCAGAAGATCATCATTTAAACTTAGCCTCACAAATCAAGGGAGTTGGAAATGCTTGTGTGATATGGTTGAAGGGGCATAAGAAAGAACAAAGTCTCACTTTCTTAATTCTTCTCAGCTACTCAATAGATGAGATCAATGAATCAAGCTTCAACATTTCAATGCCATCTCCACATCCATGTACTTCAAAAGTATTCATGGAGCACTTTACTAAGAGTTTTCTAGTGCCCTGCAAATCCCATTCAAAATATCTTCTGTGTCTAGACTCAATTAAGTATGACCATACAACATTATGTTAAAAATTATAGTAAACCAACTAAAGTTTCAGCCTTATGAGAGAACTCAGTGCACAATGGAATATTAAACATCCCCTGGCAACTAGTGTCCTTTTTGAGCAGTAATAATTTTTATTGTAAGCAGAATTTTAGAACACATCCTACTGCAGCATTTTTGTGCCTATCTTATGTGTGTTCCTGCGCTGTTCAGGTTCAGTGTACCAATTTTATTCCTGTGTCAAACTGGGACTGTTTATCACTGACAGTGCTGCTGTCATACTAAAATGTTTCTGTGATTGGTTATTCTCAGTTGCCAAGGTAACCATTCTGATGTGTGTGACCTTTAGGAACTTATCATTAGATACCTGAAAATTCTGACTACATGTAAATAATAAAAGCTATTAAGGTAATGTGTCTTTGTGCTTCACATGGTATTTTCTAGAATATAATAAATAAACGATAATGCTGAGTTTCTATTAACATTTTTTAGTCACTTATCATCAAAAGTCTTGATAGGAACACATTGATCTGTACTATCTACTTAGAAATTTTAGTTTTTAAATAGAAAACCAAAGTTAAAATATTTTATTTATTTTATTTTATGTCAGACTCTATGCAAAAATAATTTTATGGAGCTTTTGACTTTGGTTAGAGCAATTTTGAAGTAAAAGAATTAATCATAAAATTCTCTCAGGCTTCTAAAATTTCTTTCTATTGTGTCTCTGCTTCCGACTCCTGGGTATACTAATAATGGCATCAGTATTAATACTTCTTCCCAAATTTCATTCTTCCCTGTCTCCCTCCAGAAAGCCAGAATCATAGGCTTTGGAGTTCAGACATATTTTGGCTTATGCCTTTGCTTTGCTTCACTATTCATTCATTCATTCACCCATTCATTCATTCATATTTTGGGGGCCTCAGTTTCCTTATCAATAAAGTTAGATAGAGATTGCTCCATGAATGCATTAGTGACAGTGAATGTGCATAATGCAATACAGTATATGACATATTATTGTTTTAAAAATAATTATATATGCTATTAAAACTGAAATCATTTGTTTTTTATAGAGAATTAATTTGAAGTTTTATCTTTCTGTCTGTATTCTGTTGATAGAGTGAGTAGCCTCCTAATGAGTTTCATTAAAATGATCCTAAGAAGACTTATCTGCCTTTCAAATCTTTGCAAAAACTTCTTGCCTGCCAAATTATGAGAATCTTAGAGTTTTAGAATGACTGGTTTTGAATAAAGCCTTTGTGTTTTCAGGCATCTCTTCTTCAACTATAATACACCCAGAAGCACAGCCATTATGTGCTAACAATACTTTAATAGGAGGAACTAGTTGGCATCGTAAGTTGAAGTGCTCAGGTAGCATACACTCAGATGAACTTTTGAGTGCAAGATACTTTTTAGGGATCAATTCCTGTGGAAAAAAAAAGTGAGGAAGCAGGATGGGGCAGAGGAAGAAGTTTAACTTTGATGTAGGTTCTACAAAGACTTAGTTACCCTGCAGGAGAGGCCTGGAACAAGTATTATTTGTTAGAGTTGTCCTATTTTGAGCTACTATGGCAGTGCATTTATATCCCCGCCTTTTCATTCTTCCAGCATGGACTACCCAGAGAAAGTCACAATCTCTGGTGAGGCTGCTCTCTGAAACTGAGGCTGATCATGGAAGAGCTGCCTGTCGGAGGCTCTCTGCTGACCACGCTCCTGCAGCAGAGCAGTCCTTTCTTGAGGGAGATCTGGGTGGCACATATCCTTGTCTATCATACTTAGATTAACCTGCTATTTTGAAAAGAAGTGAACTGGGCTTAGATTCAACGAGAACAGCAGACACACATTTTGCTAAGGGACTTGAAACAGATTCTGCTTTTGGTGAGTTATATCACGTGTGGTGCTCCTTCCCACTAGGGAAGCCTGAATGCTGGAATTCATAGAATAGGAATATTGAGGATAACAAGAGAAAAGAGAGAAATCCCCAAACAAAAAGGTGAAAGAATCAGTGGTCCATTTCACCAGTATCAAGTTAACATAGCCATTGATCTACTTAGAAAGAAGCAAACAATTCTTTAATTATTTGATCTTTTTTCTGAGTAAGTGGCATTTTATCTAATGAGACTTCCCTTATATTTATATTCCTATTCCTATTTATATTCATATTCATCTTCATCCTTCAATTTTTTTAACCTCACTACTTTTGCTCTTACAAGAAAAAAAAAATCTTTCTTTTGATTGTTCTGTTGTGTTTTCTAGAATCGAGGAAGTCGCCATTCAAGAACATTAGGCACGATAGACCTCAAGATAATCATGCTAAGCAAAATAAGCCAGACAGAAAAAGTTGAAAACCACTTGATATCACTTATATGTGGGATACAAATCTAAAAGCAACAAACAAATAGGACAAACAAGCAGAGACTCATAGACATGGACAATGGACGAGTGGTTACCAGAGGATAGGAGGTTGGGGAGGAGGGGAGAGGTAGACGGGGTAAAGGGGGTCAATATAGGGGGAGGGTATATGATAGCTGAAGGAAAATGGACTTTAGGAGGTAAACACACAATAGAATATACAGATGTCAAATGATAATGTACATCTAAAAATTATATTATTGTATCAACCAATGTTACCCCAATAAACTTAATTAAAAAGAAAAATTAGGCATAACCAAAATGACTCATCACTGTAGAGCTTTGTGGCAGGTAGGGGGTTCAGGTTATGGTTAATTACAGAAATCTCATGTAGAAGATATGGGAAAGGTTAAGTTTCAGTATTCCGGCTCCAATGCTCTGTAGGTGCTTATATGACCCCCCACAGAGCTAGTACTTTAACCCTCTTCTCCTCCTTAAAAAAAAAAAATTGAAGAATGTGCCATTATTTTCTCCACCTCAAATCTCTTCTTTTTCTAAAAACCTCATGCAGTGCTAGAACAGAGTGACTTAAAATATGGAAATAAGTATCAATAAACACAAGGGGCTAAAAAGCACACACAACTACAAGTTAGGTTACCCTAATGGGATGATAATGTACATCTAAAAATTATATTATTGTATCAACCAATGTTACCCCAATAAACTTAATTAAAAAGAAAAATTAGGCATAACCAAAATGACTCATCACTGTAGAGCTTTGTGGCAGGTAGGGGGTTCAGGTTATGGTTAATTACAGAAATCTCATGTAGAAGGTATGGGAAAGTTTAAGTTTCAGTACTCCGGCTCCAATGCTCTGTAGGTGCTTATATGACCCCCCACAGAGCTAGTACTTTAACCCTCTTCTCCTCCTTAAAAAAAAAAAATTGAAGAATGTGCCATTATTTTCTCCACCTCAAATCTCTTCTTTTTCTAAAAACCTCATGCAGTGCTAGAACAGAGTGACTTAAAATATGGAAATAAGTATCAATAAACACAAGGGGCTAAAAAGCACACACAACTACAAGTTAGGTTACCCTAATGGGCCATTACATAGGCATCAGCAAGCTTTAAAAAATCACAGTGGTTAGACAAAATAATTTGCATTGCCCAATATCTTGTAAAAACAGCTGAATGTTTCATTTCACAAACTTCCTTCTCAGTTTATGCCTCAGTGATTTTCACTTACTAAGTAGCATTGTTGAGCCATGAAAATATTCTCCCCAGCAGCATACAACTCACTAGAATTTTTGTTCACAAAATATTGATTTCATGATTAAACTTTCTATCAGATAAGAACTCAAGGTCCGAGCTTTAGACTTTTCATAATAGGTTGCATTTATGGTTTGAAAATCCTTGAAAATTGTCTCTTTCTATTAATAAAATATATAGTGTTCTACATGGAGAAGATTAGATTTACTCTCAAATCCCTATTGTTAACAACAGGCTAGTATTTCTTCTCATTTATGATTATATTTAAATACTTAAACTTCATTATGTGTCCAAATGCCAATATTTTTACACTTGAAACGTGAAGTTGGAAGTTATCAAGAAACAGGATTAATGTGTGGATACTTAGGAAAGTGGATACTTGTATCAATGGAGCTGGAATTTAAATTCATGCCTAATTGATTACAAAGCCTTGTTCTCATATTCAGAAGAAAGTACATTACATTTTTTGTATATTTCTTATTTCAGAAAGTCCCTCATTATATCAGGTCACTCTTGGTGGTGCTACGGCAGTAGCAGATATCTTTTAAATTTTAGAGGCTTAAAAGAAGGAAGAAAGGAAACAACAACAAAAGTTTCTTAAAGCAAAAATGTTTCTTGTTCACATTATATAACCATGGCAGGACAGCAAGACACTGTGTATTACAGTCCCTGTGGTAAATAGGCTGTTGGAAGCTCTATGTTGACATATATTTCTATGATCTCCCAAAACAAGGAAAGGAAACATGGTGAAATATTTATTACTTCTTAAAGTTTCCACAAGAAGATAAAAATGCCTTTCTTTTCCATGTTTCGTTGGCCAGAACAGGTTATATGGCCATCTCTAAATTAAACAGAATGAGAATGTATAATTCTTCCATAGAGAGGGTCACCAAATAATACAGTGAGTTGACTATTATCTCATTTCAATAAAATATATAGTCTTAAACTTCTAATTAATATTCTTTTTCTTTCTAAGGGACCAACCATATCATGAGAACTCTCATATATTTAGATTTTTAAAATATACTTTTGACTCATTTTGATAATATTCATCTCAAATTTCTTCTTTTCCTTTTTTTTTTTTTTTTAGTTGTTTGCTTGTTTTAAATGATCTCTTGTCCTAGTCTTGAGGTCCTATCTGGAGGTCAGTCAGTTCCCCTTCTTGAGAAGCTAATTAAGTCCACACTCCAACCGTTTTCACTATGAGATTTTACACTCTGGGCCACTGTGCACCTGCCCTAATGGACCTTACGCCAGGTATCATACAATTAGGGACCCAGAACCCAGAAAACTGTTCAAATAAACCATTCCGTAGAGAGGCCAAGAAACATCACTAGCCCCAATCCTACATAAGCTGCCCCATACAGCTCCAACTTTCTGTTAATCTGTCCCTAGGTGCAACCCACTCTGTGACCCGCCTGTCAGCCTTCTCTCTTTTGGAGCCATAAATAACAAAGAGTTCTTCTTTTTTCTATCCCAGTGTCAGTGTGCTGTGTCCTGATATCAAATAAACCTATAAATCTTCTAAAACTTGCTCTGTGTCTGTTGGTGGTTCCCATGTCTTTCTTTACTCAAGCTTTTTTAGCGTCAAAATATTCAAAACGACCAGTGCTAATTAGCTAAATTTGGAAATCGGGGCAACTAGAAACCAGCCAGGTGAAAGTCTACCATAGGACAATAGGAATGATGGGCTGCTTGATCTGCATTTTCTGGAATCAGCTTTTTATTATGTTTCTGGTCACAATTGATGTTTGCCAGAGGCCTATTTCAGGGTCCCTTCTTCAGCATCAGTGTTTGCTAATTATTATTTAGGACAGAACTCTGGTTTGTCTACCTATTTCAGGTGACTCCTATGGAAGAAGGTGTTGGTTGGACACACCCACAGTAGAGAAATGGCACTCCAGTTTCACTGTTGACATTGCGCAGGTGGAGGTAACAATAGCCTGCTTGTCTTCTGTGCTATATTTCTCATGCTGCTGTCAGCAGCTGACTTCATGCTCCTCAGAGGTATTGTGTGTTGTACTCTTAGAGATCAGTAGGCTGATATGTAAACCAAAGTGAGGTTTCTCAAAAAAAGAGCAAGAGAATATTCAGTCCTCATATACCTGTTAAAATTGCCCAATTGATTAAATAAAGAAAAGTACTAGTCAGTGTACTTAGGCTTTAGTAAGTAAGTGCCACTGCATACCAACATGTACATTGACTGATACTTTGGAAAAGGGGGCTAATTGTGCTGTCTCAAGGCAGCTATATCTGGGAGACATGCTGAGAAGGTGTGGAACAAGAGATAGCTGCATTTGAGGCAAGGTAACCTTTCCAGTAACCACCTAGAAAATCCACACTATGTCTTATCAGGCATAGACAGAAACTAGAAACCATCACTTTAGGCTGCTAGAAGCTCAAAAGAGAAAAAAAATGGGAGTGGAAAAAATTAAAAAAAAAACAAAACACAGGATACATGGAGAAGAAACAATTATCATCTATCTATCTATCTATCTATCTATCTATCTATCTATCTATCTATCATCTATCATTATCTATTTATATAGCTATATATATACATATACATATACATATATATATACACACACACATATATGTTGCATAGGTGAAGTATCCTAAAGAAAAATTAGTTGGCAGTTAAAAGTAAAGTGTTAATGTTTGGGGATATTAGCTGTATGGGGCAAATTAAAATGATAAATTAT